CATACGTGAATCCTGGCATTGGACCTTTCGCTTTGTGTGTTTAATTTTGAGTATCTGTGGATACTGGGGAACTATGTGGGGATCACTGAGGGCTTCCTAGGGAGGAAGATATCAGAACACTGGTGATATTGAGGTGGTTTAGGCAAAGTCATGTTAGCCTGGCCATATACCTCCTCCACTCTGGAGCCTCATTTGCTTTTAAACAAACAGTTCCTCACTCCTTTTGACCCAAGAGGGTCCTCCTTCCCTGCTGAGAAAGGATCCTGCAGTGTACAAATTGTTCCTCTGGAAGAATGGCCTTATCTGATGTTTTACAAGACCCAAGGTTGCATTGTGAAAAGCCCCTCAGTCTACACGTGGTATGAAATGGTTGCAGCCTTCTGACTTAAAAACAAACAGGAAGACAAGAGACTTTCCCTGGGCATGAGCCTGCACTTGGTCAGCTAGCTGGAGGACTCATCAAACTCCCGATTGGCTTAATACATGTGGTGGTCTGTAACTTGGAAAGGAGGATAATGGGGGGCAGTTTAAGTGGAGAGGCAAATGGGAAGGCAGGGCCAAGGAGGGTGTAAGGCCACACTGTGACTGGAGACAGTTCTGCAGTTAAGAGGCCCCGGGTTTGTTTCCTAGCAACCACATGGTGGCTAACAATAAACTGAGGACATTAGGCACACGTGTGGTACACAGACATCCAGGCAAAACACTTTTGTGTGTGAAATAAAATGAACTAAATACATATTTAAAAGTTTTAAAATTTTAAAAAAGGAAAGGCCCATGGAAACCTATTAACCGATTTTACAAACTTCAAATACATTCTCTCTCTCTCTCTCTCTCTCTCTCTCTCTCTCTCTCTCTCTCTCTCTCTCTTACACATACACATACACACACATACATACACACACACACACCACAGAAATACACACAAGATTTTATTTGAAATTATTGTACACAGATACTTTGGACTTTGTGATATCCTTTATACTTTACCTATTCACAGAAACAGCCATCTTTATATTTATTTGACTTTGCTAAGTGTTTAACGTCTTGTACAATACTTTAATTCAATGGTACTATAGAAGCATGTATCTCTTGGAGATATATTGGTGTGCCTTAAAAGAATAATTTCCAACTTTGATATTTTGAACCCTGGAGTGTAATGGAAATATCTCTGGAATTTTGTTCTTTGCCTTCCTGTCCTAGGCAGGCTCTAGGTATACTGTTTCTCTAAAGAACACTGATTCATCATGAGAATGCCTCCCACTTTAGCTAAAGGAGACACACCCACAGTTCTCCTTGTAACTCTGAAATGACAGTTTAGCATTTTAATAACTCCCACTGCAAGTAGATTGTAGGATCTAATCCCTGATCTCCTAAACGTCACTGCCTTCTAAAGGCTTTTATATCAAGACAGAAGAAAATATATATTCATGTTCCTGGCTACTGATGCTGAAACCATCATGATTTCAGTTGACTTACACAGTGTTCAGAATGTGGTGAACCATATTCTGACTGCATAGCTGGTATGTAGGTTAAAAAATGGATATAATAGTGAAGATTTTGAAAGCATATTGTGGCTTGTGTCTTCTGGTAGGAAAAGTCTGCACTTGTTTGTTAATTATATAAAGTGTAAATAGAGATAATAAAGAAAATGTATATTTATCTTGGGGAAAAAAGATAGACTATTCTATTGCATATTGATTAGAGCTGCCTATCTAGAGATGAAGAGGTGAAAAACTTATTTATGGTGGTTGTAAGAGTGGTTTCCATCATAATTAAATAATTGTTAGAGAAGCATGAGAAATAATAAAATGTGTAGGCCAAACTTTTTAGTATAAATTAAATGGTTTTATATGAAGGGAAATAATTTAGTTAAAAAGATCTAATTACTTTTGTAACACAGTGTTTACTGAACCCCTAAACTGAAACTAGATTACAATATTTTGCTGTATGATTCCATATCAATTATTTCTAATAAAATTAGACAAAAGATAACTTCTGAACAACATTTTTATTTTCAATCTCATGAATGTCTTTGACCATCACCCAGGAACTATCCAAGAGCACTATATAAATCATATAATCTAACTTTCACAATAAATGAGGTCAGAAGGAGAAAGGCTGCTTAGATATTATCTAGTTCAAAAACATCATTGCCACTCTTAACTACTGAGTGATGGTCCATTTTAAGAATTTTACAATATTTTTTTTTGTTTTGTTTTTGTTTTTGTTTTTCGAGACAGGGTTTCTCTGTGTAGCTTTGCGCCTTTCCTGGAACTCACTTGGTAGCCCAGGCCGGCCTCGAACTCACAGAGATCCGCCTGGCTCTGCCTCCCGAGTGCTGGGATTAAAGGCATGCGCCACCACCGCCCGGCACAATATTGTTATTTGAAAAAAAAACAATGTTTATTAATCATGAAAAAAAGAATATATGCAGCTAAACAATGTGTAAATGTATTTTCTTCAGGAAGCAACTTATATGAAAAATAGTATTAATGGTAATGGTTTAAATTTGGGCCTTGGATGTGCAGTGAAAATTAAAGATAAAGCAATGAGGAAGATTGTAATTTGGAGAGTAAAATTCTTTTCTTTTGTACATCATTTAAGATATGAACTTGAGATTTTATTCCCTTTTGTCATCTTCCTGCTTCTGAATGGACTATGGGGTACATCACAACTGGACAGTTGACATAGGAGTTTTTCTCTGAAGGCAGAAGATGTAGTGAATGGGAATTCTGTGTTAAGTGCTCAGAAGGGAAGCCAAGTTATTTTAGAATAATTAATTTAATTTTTATTCAGATTTATTCTTCAGTTAGAAACCATAATATCACTTTAACTGTAAGCACACGACTGAATTGTTAGTTCAGATGAAGGAGACCACCTTCAACATTGTTCATTGAATTGGTACATTGATATCGACAGGAGGGTTCTCTCTCTCTCTCTCTCTCTCTCTCTCTCTCTCTCTCTCTCTCTCTCTCTGTATTAATCTTCAGTCAAAAGTGATTTAAATCCTAGTCTCAAATTTTCATTTGATGCTTTTTTAGTACATGTTTTATTACTATTTCAAGCACATTTTGAGGACCATTAAAAGTAAATTAATGAAAGAGAAATAGTGGAGAAATTCAGAGCTTATTGATTCTATTTTCATTTGAGCATCCTCTGGATTTATGACAAAGACTTCATTCTTTTCTACCTCTATAATTATCAAGAATAACTTAAATGTTACTATTGAAAGACACTTCACATTTCTTGGTACAGAGCCACCTTGTTTCATTCACATATTTAAAATTTAATCACTTTTAGTTTACTCAGATAATTTGTAAATAAAATAAAAAGTAAAAATCACAGTTTCAAAGATGGATGATATATAAGATTATATATTGCATATATATTACTAGCTAAATTATTATCAAATCATAGATAAAATATAGTGACAAATATAAAGTGATTTAATGCATGAAAGACTCATAATTTTACTTGTAAAAAAAGTGGTTTAACTAAAAACGAGGAAAGAAGTTGTATTGGTGCCATACAGACATTTTTTTATCTATAACTGAGCTGAAATAACATTAGATTATTGTTTGCTTGATTGATTTATAGTTGATAAATTTTTGTAATTAGCATGCACTTTACAAACAAATCAGTTATACTTTCTTTAGTCAGATGTCTGCAGTGAATTAGGTGTCTAGAGGACTAAACCTCATCCCTCACATTAACTTTCATCAGCCAGATCAATTTCTATTTCATTTCTACTATGTTTTTGATAATTTGATAGACATTAGTATATAATAAAATTTTGAGAATGTACGAGTACTCTAAATGGAAAAAATTGACCTAAAAAGATTCTGAGTTCAGAAAATATGGTTCTAAACATCTTATCTCAGTTTAATAGATTAACTTTGTGCTGCATAGAGCAAAAGATAACATGATATAAGTTGATATTACCTCTCAAGTATTTACAAGTATACTTTTTGGTCACTGATAATTCATAAGCTTAAAAATACAAAAGAAAGTAACTTGTCACTCTCACAGGGTATTGAGTGAATTTTTTTTTTAATTTTTAATTTTTTTTTTATTTTTATTTTGCAATACAATTCAGTTCTACATATCAGCCACGGATTACTTGTTCTCTCCCCTCCCGCCCTCCTCACCTTCCCCCCAGCCCACCCCCCTTTCCTCCAGGGCAAAGCCTTTCCCGCAGACTGAGATCAACCTGGTAGACTCAGTCCAGGTAGGTCCAGTCCCCTCCTCCCAGGCCGAGCCAAGCGATCCTGCATAGGCCCCAGGTTTCAAACAGCCGACTCATGCGTATGAGTGAGAATTGTTGACACCAAGGTTGGATAAAGCACAGGGACAAATAGCCAAACGAATGGAAACACATGAACTATGAACCAATGGCTGAGGGGTCACCAACTGGATCAGGCCCTCTGAATGGGTGAGACAGTTGATTGGCTTGATCTGTTTGGGAGGCATCCAGGCAGTGGGACCGGGTCCTGTGCTCATTGCATGAGTCGGCTGTTTGATTAAATTTTTTGAAATCATATTAAGTTTTTAATTAAATACACTGGTTGATTCAAAATAATTCTACTTCTGCATGAAAAAATATTTGAGAGCTCAAATCTTATTTTTTAATATATGTATTGTTTAGCACATCCCACAAACTTAACACTACCTTTCGATACATGTACATCCTGAAGCACGGGGGCAGTTAGACAGATGTGCTGTGGGGGCTATGATGCTCAGCCTGACATGTACTGTGCTTGCCTGCTGGACAGATCTAAGCTGTGCTTCTCAAGTGTTATCCAGCATCAGTTGTCTTAGTGGTCCCCAAAGAAAAACATCTTGCACTTAAGAGCATTTTTAGATGGATTCTGAGTAACCAGTGAGTTAGATAACTATTAAGTAGTATCATAAGTTCTTCATATGTAGCTATGGAAATATTGTATGCTCCCAGCACTGTAATTGTGTGTCTTTTATGACTACAGAGCAGAGTCTACGGATAGATGGAGAGGCTTAACTATTCCAGAGTACCGGAATTCGTGTTACTTGGACTCACTGATTCTCCCGAGCTTCAGATATTCTTCTTTGTGGCATTTTCCATTTTCTATTTAATGACAATGCTTGGGAATTGCCTGATTCTGTTCACTGTCCTCTCCACTTCACATCTCCACTCCCCCATGTTCTTCCTTCTCAGCAACCTTTCTCTGATTGACATATGCCTCTCCTCCTTTGCCACACCAAAGATGATCATGGACTTCTTTGCTCACCACAAGACCATCTCTTTTGAGGGGTGCATTTCTCAAATCTTTCTTTTACATCTTTTCACCGGAACTGAAATTGTACTGCTGATTTCCATGTCTTTTGACAGGTATATTGCCATATGTAAACCTCTCTACTATTCAACAATTATGAGCCCAAAAGTGTGTGTTGGGCTTGTGGTAACTTCTTGGATGGTAGGCTTCCTACATACAATGAGCCAATTAGTTTTTATCCTATATTTACCCTTCTGTGGTCCCAATGTAGTAGACAGTTTCTTCTGTGATCTTCCTCTGGTAATTCAACTGGCTTGTGTAGATACCTATGTTCTTGGTATCTTCATGGTCACAACCAGTGGCGTTATTGCTCTTGTAAGTTTCCTGCTTTTGCTCATCTCTTATATTGTGGTGCTTGTAACTATCAGAGACCACTCCTCTAAAGCTCTTTCTACCTGCACTTCACATTTCATAGTTGTGCTAATGTTCTTTGGACCTTGCATTTTCATTTATGTGTGGCCCTTCACAAACTTTCTGGTTGATAAAATTCTCTCTGTTTTCTACACCATCTTCACCCCTTTTCTGAATCCACTTATCTATACTTTAAGAAACCAGGAAGTGAGGACAGCAGTAAAGAAAAAAATAAGTAACCAATATTTTACTTTTGGGAAAACAATTCCACATTATACAGTGAAAGGACAGGAGAGATCCTGAGAGTGAGGTCAGGTTTTCTAACAGAATAGCAGATAATTAAATTAGAATCTGCTCATGATATCAAGACATTGGGGCTGAGGGATATGCAACAGCTTTAAAATTAGTGCTGTGTTTGGTATCTTTTTGTGATCATGGATCCATTTGACATTATGTTGGAGTCTATAATGTGTTTTCATAGAAAAGTTATGTTGCTAGAATTTTTAACATAGATTCATTTTCATGTATTTGTAAAAATCTATACACATTCATACTAGGATTAATACTCTGTAAGAAGCTTAATATGAAATATATTCTTGTTTTCTAATTTAGAGCACTCCTTTTTGGCTGTCCTGTGATATTTTATGGTTTCCACTTGAAATTAGAACTTTAATTAGAAATTTGGAGCACAACAGGCTTTATTCATAACATTAGAAAATTTTATATTATGTAACGATTCTTTTAAATAACACAGAACAGTTTTAATCAGTGAGTCAAATTGTTTGAATTCTAAGACAATTTTGAACATAACAGATTAAAACTTCAGCAGTATAGATTCTTAGTGTGCAGATTACTGCTATGAGGTGATTGATATAGAAAATAACTAATAAATTGAGAGTCTGTGGTATTTAAATCATCGAGTAGAGTTCTTAAATAGACTGGCTTTTAGAACTTAGCTACAAATAATATGTATAATGGACTCATTTGCTATTAAACTTTATTGTGTGAGAATACTATTAACTGTTGAATTCATGATACACTTAAAGTCTTTAAAATAAAATAGTTCAAACTATTATTACCATTTTATTAATTTTGCATCTAGTTTTTAATATCATATGGTTAGTGGGAAGAAAAGGTGAAACTTATTTTAAAAGTTTATAGTTAATTTCTACCTAATTTGGTTTATTGCCAATAACGGTAAGTAGATTTTTTTATCTCACATAATCTTTGAAATTCAGATAGACAATCCATTTTTTAAACTGCTGAAGAAACAAAGGCATAGAGAATTTTTACCACTTTTTTTGTTGTTTTTTTAACTAATTTTTATTAGTCATGATAGGACACAAAGAACATTGACGAAGACCAGAGGATTACTGAATTAGATCTTGGAAGATTCACTTTATCCCTTTTTATCTCTAATATGAGAATTATGAAAAATAGATTAAAATTTTTATGGTAATATTTTACAAAAAGTAGACATGTCAATTCCATTTTCCTTGAACTACCTCAACTATGTCTTATTTTTAATCAATATGCTTCTGAATAGTAGCTTCATTCTGGGATGAGTACTAGCAAAGTTACATAATGCTCTAATTTTGTGTTGTTTTAAAAACTATAGTTTGTTAAAATAGATGATAAAACCATTTTGATTTCCATTTGCAGTCTGGAATGTGTGATCAAAATAGGTTAGAATGCCTACTATTTTAATATACTATGAGATTGTTTCTCCCTGACTTAATGGATATTAGGAGTTATGAAAGTAAACTGTCACCAGAGACTTAGAGCATTAGAATCATGCAAAAACATAGGCTCTTGTCTCTCAAAAAGGCAACATGTTTTTGTGATAACAACTTCAAAGACAAACTTTAATATCTGAAGTTTAGTAGTGTGCAGAAGTTTATATAGAGATATACTGTTGAAACTAGGTGTATAATTACACATTCAATTTGAGGGCTAGTTTATTTTTAAGTAAACTATAAACTCATTCTTATTGCCTCATATAAGCAAAACATACAGAAAAATTTTAGTATGGAGAGATACTTTTGCCTCACTTCTACTGCTATGGAAAAAATATCTTTATTTAAAAATATGAACTCTGGCTCTAAAAGTACCAACGTTTAGTTCAATAATTCATTGTTGAGCACCTCTTGTGTTTTAAGTCCTTGTTGGCTTCTGAAGGCCTGTTCAAGTCCACAGTCTGTTTCCTTGTTACAGAGAGAGAGAGATAGATGTCTATCCAGTAATTAGATAGTATCAGTCTGTTTTAATTCTGAACTGTGATCTCAGAACTTCGTTCTACCTCTGAAAGTTTGAGCAAATTTCTTTAAAGTTTCTTTGCCTATAGATTTGGAGTCATTGTGTGTAACCACTACTGATGTTGAAATTAAACAAAAATGTGTAAAATATCTAGCAGCAGGAAATACTAAGTAATAATGTTGCTGATTTTGATGTTTGGTTAAAAAAGTACAAAAGCACAGAGACTGAAATAGAAATGAAGGGTCTCACCTGAACTTCCATGACCCAGTTTTATATTAGAAAAAGTATGTTGATTTCTCTAATATTAGACATGTGTCAATTACTTAGTCTGGATTCATTTATAGTGTTATTGTTACATTTGTATATCTGTGTTTTTCTAAACAAGTATTATGTTTTGCAACTTCATCTTAAATTTAAATGTATTCCATAACTGTATCGAAAAGGTAAGATAAGTATACTGTGTCTGATAGGTCAGAGTCTTTACAATGTTTTCAACTACAAGTAAATATACTTAAGTTTCAAGTGTGGTCTGTGTATTTTGTCTTTATTCACACATTTGAAGATATTAATGGAAATGTTTTAAATTTTATATGGTATTATTCGTTTAAAATATTAACTGGGAATAAATGACAGTTTTGTATCTATACTTTATATCAAGCACATTAAAAACAAATTTAATTATAGTTATAGAGACTTTGAATTTTCAAAAATATGAAAACATTGTTTGAGGATATGGTAGAAAGCACTTTTAAGGAATATATTCAAAGCAGATAGTTCATCCAGAAAATAAGTCTCTGAAGCTAGAAAATGAGTATGTAGGCAGGTAGCTTGTTCCTGGGTAACCAATTCAGTCCTGAACTTTACCCCACAACTCCACAGACTGAACCTAGTTAAGATTATGCACTCACACAATATAGCAGGGTGGCCTTTTCTCAACATGTCACTTTTTCAAATGTCTGAGGTCAACTGTCATCATTGTATTATCCTTGACTTTCTATTTGGCTCATTATACAGTACTTGTTGTTGAAGGATGAAGGTGAATCAGAATTGGAAGAAGATCTGTATTGGATAGAAAAATAGATTCAGCAGTATAGATGTTTAACAAACATATTCACATTTTTAATTCAATATTTTATTCTAATCCACCAACCTTTACAATTCCTAAAAGAGACCTCTTGATTTCTTTTTCATTTATCTGTTTGTATACATTTGTTGTATTTAGTACTAATTTTCATAATGAAAATTTAAGTATATTATGTACTTTGACCTTATTTGCCTATCAAACCCCCTTTATGTCCGCCTCTGGTTCTCTCTCTCTCTTCTTTTTCATTCTTTTAGTCCCCCTCTTTATCTATCTATCTATCTATCTATCTATCTATCTATCTATCTATCTATGCATATATATGTTGTGTATCTAAAGTCTAGAATCCACAAAGGAGAAAAAATATATATTGACTTTATCTATTCTCTCACTTTTGTAGATCAGGATCAAAAATACTAAACTAAAGACAGATTTCAAGAGGAGGCAAGCACACATTTTTGTCTTTTCTTTTTTTCTATAGATTATATTATTACTGAAAGTACATAGAGTATAGCTTAGTCAATACTATTGTATCAACTTGATAAATAACTTTCCCATCATTTCCCTAATGATTATTCAATGATTGAGGAGAAGTAAGGGAGATAAAGGTAAAACTGACTCTAGTTATAATTAAATAGAATTCATAAACTCTGGTGTAAAATTAAATGATAAAACCCTATTGCTGATGACACCACATATTTGGGACATGTATCTTGGAGGAACCCAGCTATAATTGACCAGGAAGCTTCCTCCCTGATGATTCATTCACATAGAATCTGAAAGTGCTATACAAACTACTAAGAAAAAAAAAAGAATCAATAGTATCAATAGTCCTGCCCACCCATGAAATCTATGGCCCACAAGAATGATCAGCCTTCCAAGATATCTCCAATAGTATAGTTCTGGCACTTTTATCTTAGAAATAGCCAACAGCTGTCTAATTGGACTTAAGAGGTACTCAATAGGAGGAAGTCCATCCCTGGTACCAAAAATCCAACGTACTATGTTTGATGAGGCTATGAACCCTAGAGATAACCCATTACTACCACTTTCCTAATTTCTAACTGAATTTTAAATACTTATCTTTATACCCACAGATAATCATGACTCCTACCCCTCATTAAAGAAACATCTTTTTAGAGCAGAGGGAGGCTATCCCAGAAATCTACAACTGGTCAAAATGCAGAGAACAACTAGCTTGGGGAGTCTCACATCATTCTATACATCTGCAACACAGTCTTATACCTAAAGATCAGAGAACATCTCAGAAGCTGGCATATAAAGACCGTAAGAACTGGGATACTATATTCTAGCATGACAGTGGAGCTATACCCATAAAATTTAAACAATATTGTTGTCTAAACAAGACCTGCATAATAACACAACCAGTTGGCATGCCAAAATGTTTGAAGGAAATCTCACACATCTCTGGATGAAGAGCTACATACAGTCAGTGGCTGATGAGGGAGGGAGAATCAGTCTTTTTGGAGTAATAGTCCACTTATACATATACAGTCCCAAGTGCTAATGCTAATCCTTAAACACACACACACACACACACACACACACACACACACACACACACACACACACAAATAACACTAAATGAGTTCAGAACACTGTGTGAATGTGAATCAATAATAAAGAAGAGGAAATCATGAATTTAAGAGGGAGGGGAGGGCAAATGAGGAGTTGTGGGGAGAGAGGGAGGGGTGGAAATGATGTAATGCAGCACTTGTGTATTCTATTCTTAAAAGAACAAGAAATTTAAATAAAAATTATATAACATAAAAAAGAAATTCTGGTATGAATTGCAAAGTTGGATGACTATAAACAATGATAAGGTACTACTACTACTACTGTACATTTGAAAAATACTGAAAAGAAGTTTGTGAATTTTTATACCATGAAGAGGTGATGAACATTTGAGGATACAGAACTACTTTTTAAAAAATATTACACAGTG